GTGCTCTAGTGCAAGGGACAACTGAGAATTTAACGAGGAAGAAATATACAAATAATCGAAAATCCTCAACCTCTTGAATATTGGCATGAATTTTACTCAAATTGCAGGTTCAGTTAATTCACAAACTTTCTTCATTTGATATTATTGAAAGAATTGGCTATTCTTCTTTACTCAACATCCCCTATAACATGTATTGGTGAATTTTTTTTTTTTTTCATTTTCTTCTAAAAACTTTTCGTTTTTAGTTTAACATGATTGAAATCTCAAAAGGACTGAAAAAGGTGGCCTTAAAAAAATGGAAATGAGAAGTTGTTCATAAAATAAGGGAGCAATCCCAATTGGGTGTAATATGGGTTGTGCATGTCCAAATATTAGTTTAATATATCCATTTATAGATCAATGCACGGGTTTGGTTGCAAAAGGCTTTCATCCGCAGCTTAATGGGAATCGGACCACTCAGAAGTTTTTGATATTAGATGCAAAGCGTAACACAGTTCAGGTAACACTTATGGCAAATTCTTTATCGGAATGTCTTTTTACCAACTTGATGTCGAATGAAATGTGCACTTCAATGAAGACTTTAATTGAAGAAATCTGGCAAGGATCTTCTTTCAGGCAGTCAAGTGCTCCTGAGAAGTTAAAACAAATATCCAAATCCAATAAAAATCTATTTATGGCCTAAAAAAAATCAATCTAGAAGCATGGCTTGAATGGTTTCATTGAAACTATTATGCTTGCAAGGATTTCAAGCTAGCCTCATCTTGATACATATGTTCTACATACAAAAAGATGTAGCTTAATTTAAGTATTTGTATATTGGCTTATCAGGATCAGCCTTAAGCCCCATATCTTTTTGCTTTAGTCATGGAATGTTTCACTAGACATTTGCAAGAGATGTACCCTGGTGTATGCTTTTTGCTATGATGTATTCTTCTTGTGATAAGACTAGAGAGGAGTTGATAGTAAACTTGAATTATGGAGGTCAACATTAGAGACTAAAGGTTTTCGCTTGAGTAGATCTAAAACGGAATATATGGAGTGTAATTTTAGTAGTAATAGACCTAGTTGAGGGGTTGTGACTTTGGGCGATCAAAGTCATTTAATAAGAGTACACGTTTTGATATCTTGGATCTATTGTTCAGAGTGATGGTGAAATGATGGGATATTATCAACATAATTCAAGTTGGATGGTTGAAGTGGAGGAATGCATCGGGCTTATTGTGTGATAAAAAAGTACCCCT